CTTTTAAAGCCACTGAGAGTCTCTGTTACCAACTTTCCAACAGCCTGAGTGGCTCTGAGTCAAGCACTCACTGGGCCAGTAATGGCACTTAAGCAGTTGCTCTGATGATGATCATGATGGCAATGATTCCAGGGCTCCTGATGAGAAGAGTCTCAGATTAGAAGATTCTCTATAAGGTTCTAAGATTTGGGCATCTTCAAATATGCAGCAAACGAAATAGTAGGCAGCTGCTCTGGCCTGCAGCCATGTCTCCTGGCTTTTATTTGGGCTTTTGAATGGGCAGGCCCCTGACTGCAGCCTGCCTTCAGGGGGTCTTGTGTGGGACAGCGGCTTGGTGATCCAGAATGGCTGATTCCACTCCCAGCTTGTCCTGGCTCATCACACTGTACTGGGTAGGGCAAGGACCACACCCTCAGCCTCACCACCCTGCTGTCTCTCCTCCTCTCCCTTGCCATTCTTTGGACTTTAATGGGGGGAATGGGGAAAGCAGGAGAAAGGGACCTGTGGACCTTGCACCAGGGGTGGGGGCCACAGCATCAGGGTGGAGTGGGGGCCCTGCCTTGGGTGGAGGGGTGCAGCACTGTCCTTCAAAACAAGACTCCTGCTCTGAACCACCCTGTCCTCTGCTGGGCCTTACCCGCCCACTCAGTCCTGAGTCCCATCCTGTCACCAAGACCACTGAGACCTTGTCAGCTCTCCTCTACCCTTACCCCTCCTTTGCTCTGGCACTCTCTGCCTTTCCCTGTCTTCTCTCTGTGTCTTTTGTCTCTCCCTTTCTCTGTCTTCCTCTTTCTCTGTCTTTCTCCTTTTCTGTCTCTCTCCATCCCTTCAGTGTTTCCTCCCTGCCTCATCCCTTGGCCTGGGTTCTTTTCCATCTTTGGGCCCAGAGCGTCTTCTCCTTCATCCTTCCTTCCCTTCCTGTGAGGAGTCTTCTATAAGAGGAGCCCCCCACCCATCTTTTCCCTTTCTCTTTCACTCCCCTTCCCCTCCCCACTTTCCTATCCATGTGGCCTCTGGTATGAGGAGGGCTCCCTTCCCCCTTCCCTATTGTGGTGTCCCAGCGTCTCTGTGGCTGAGGTCCCCACAAGGAGTCACCTGGAACACAGGAAGCCCAGCCCAGCTCTTTTGTCTCTACTGCCCCCTGTTGTCATTGTGTTCTGTTTGTGGTTCGAGTGCCGTCCTCTCTTTCTTGACTTTGTGGTTTTTTTTCTTTTTTTCCTCCTTCCTTCCTTAAAATAATAGAGGAAAATCTGCCATTCCCTCCCCTCTTCTTCCTCCCTCCTCCTCTTCCTCTCTCCCTTATCTTCCTTTCTTCCCACCCTCCCTCCCTGCCTCCCTCCCCCATCCTCCATTTCTCCCAGCCTTCCTTCCTACCTCCCCACTCACTCTCACCTCCTTATCCCCTTTGCCTACCCTGCCTCTCCCCTCCTTTCCTGTATCTCTCTCTCTGTCTTCTTTCTCTCTCTGTCTCTTGCTGTCTCTCAGGTCCACAGCGTCTCATACTCTACACCAGTATTGCTGTCCTACTCAGGTCCTTGACTCCATGAAGCTTAGCCCCTCAGGCAGGCTGGCAGAGAGCAGGTAAGAGCTAGACCCATCACTCCCTCAATCCCTCACCCTTCCAAGACAAATATGCAATACCATTGTCAGACCCCTTCCCCATGTCCCTTAGCCCCTGGTGTGACTGTGGAGTGGGTGTCTGTGTGTATGAGGAGAGTGCCTGGGAGATCAGATCAGGAGACCAAAAAGGGCATTTGGAATCTATTTGTAGTTTGTCCTTCCTTACAAAAAAAAAAAAAAATCCTTCCCTAGAGCCTTGCCCTAAAAGGCAGGAGTGGATGGTTTTAGAATATGTGACTGTTGAGCTGTTTTGAAGGATGAATAGGAGTAGACTGGCAAAAGCTGTTTAGGCAAAGAGAACAATATTCCCCCATCTTTGGAAAACAATGTTATTTCCTGGTTAATTAAGAAAAATGTTCTACATTTTCTAATTATAATTTAATAAAAAAAATAATAATAGCAACAGCAAAAAGGCTAGGCCTACCCCCTCATTTGAAAGTTTAAAAATATTGATGTTAAAAAGGAAATACAAGGGACCAGCAGATGGCATAATGGTTACATCGCTGGACTCCCACATGACAGACTGTTGTTCGAGGCCCAGACCTGGAGGCTTGACACTCACGCCAAGAGTGTGCATGCGTGTGTCAAAATCCCAAGAGGAGAATGAAGGAGAAAGGGTTGCAGGGTGGTCATCCCCCTGCAGGGGTGATTTCTTGCTTTCTGTCTTTCTCTCTCTGTCTCTCCAGTGAGTGCTCATATGTGCCCTATAGCAAAAATTTCTCCAATTAAAAAATAAAAGGAAATACGAATGGAATTTATGGACTATTTAGAATAAATGTCAAGAATACTACAAATTAAAACTTATGGGATATGGTCATAGCAGTTCTCAGCAGAAAATTTATGCTTTTATTAGAGAACAATTCAGTTTAAGTGAATTAATTATTCCACTCAATAAGCTAGTAAAAGAACCACCAAGGGGCCGGCAGGTGGCGTGGTGGTTAAGGGCACTGGACTCTTACTTGGTTGACCATGGTTCAAGTCCCCGGACCTGGCAGCTTGTTTTCTCACTTTCCCTCTCTCTTACTCTGTCCCTCTCTGGTCATATTAAAATAAATAAAGTTAAATAAAATTTAAAAAAAGAAACATCAAAAGACAGAAGAATAAAGTAATTATTGTAGATAAAAACAGAAATTAATGAAAGAGAAAGCAAAAGATTTGATAAAGCAAGAGGTAGCTTTTGGAAAGACCAGCAAACTAGGCTGACCATCCTATAGTAGATATGAATGAGAAAAAGGCAAGAAAACATAAGTAATAAAAGGTATAAGGAAAGGGATTTAGCCATAAAAGCTGAGGAGATGAAAAAAATAGAAGGAGGTGCTTTGTGTATTTTTATACCAATAAACATGGATATCTAGATGAAATGAATAGTTTCCCAGGAAAATGTAAATTACCAAAATGATTTAAGGAGAGACAGAAAACCTGAAAGGAATGGAAAAATATAAAATAAGTTGAAAAGATGGTCAAAGTTTGCTCCTCAGAAATGGTACCAGGTCCAGTTGGTATTCTGGAAACCCTGGCATGATAGAGGTTCTATCGAATCTTAAAAGATTAGGTAATAGGAAAAAATGAACTAGCTTCCTAGTTCATTTTAGTTTATTCTGTAAGGCTATTATAACTGGACAACTTTAGGCATATATATTAATAGAGCAACAAATAGTTTAGGTAAAAGATTAGTAAGCAGAATCCATCAGTGTATTGAAAAAATAAATCACGACAAATGAGGCTTTGTCCCAGGAGTGCAGGGTTTGTTCAACATTAGGAGATCTGTTATTGTAATTTACTACATTAACAGACTAAAGAGAAAAGATCATGCAATCTTCTCCATAAATACTGAAAATGATCTGGTAAAATTACACACACAGGGCTAGCTGGTGGAGTGGTGATTAAGGCAGCTGGATCCCATGTGACCAACTGTGTGGTTCAAGTCCTGGACCCATTGACTTGAGAAATGCACTGGGCATGTGTGGATGCATGTGCAAAAATCTTGAGAGGAGGGGGGACCAGCAGTTAGCGTAATGGCTATGTAGCTAGCTATGTAGTCAACCACCGTTCGAGTCCTGGACCCGGTGGCTTAAACTCATGCTGGACGTGTGTGCATGCATGCCCAAGATCCCAAGAGGGGAATGGAGGAGAACGGATTATGGCGTGGCCATCCCCTGTGGGAGGTGATTTCTCACTTTCTGTCTCTCTGTCTCTGTCTGTCAAAAAAAAAAAAAAAAAAAAAAAAAAAAAAAACTGAGAGGGGAATGGAGAAGAGACTGTGACATGGCCATCCCCCGCCCCCTGGGGGGGGTGCGTTCTCTCACTCTCTCTTTGTCTCTGGTGAGCGCATGTGCCCTGTAGCAAAATTTTTTTTAAAGAGTGGCAGGAGTAAACATTAAAAGAAAAATTACACATTCAGTTCTGGCATTGTGACCTAGCGGTTAAAGGGGCACAATTTCACATGACTGACTGTTTCTAATCCTGGCCCTGGATTAGAAACACTGGCTTGAAAACCTTGCTGGGGAGAACCAGCAGTTAGCGTAATGGCTATGTTGCTGGACTCCCACGTAGTCAACCGCAGTTCGCGTCCCGGACCCGGTGGCTTAGAACTCACGCCGGGCGCATGTGCGTGCGTGCCCAAGATCCAGAGAGGAGAATGGAGGAGAAGGGATTGCAGTGTGACCATCCCTCCTGGGGGGTGATTTCTTGCTTTCTGTCTCTATGTCTCTCTCTGTCTGTCTGGCGAGCACACGCGCCCTATAGTGAAAACCTCTCAAAAAAAAAAAAAAAAACATGCTGGGCATGTATGCATGTATACCCTAAATCCCAACATGAGGGAGAAATGCAGGAGAGAGGTTTACAATATGACTATGCCCCACTGAAGAGCTCTTTCTCCTCTCCTTCTCACTTTTTTTTTTTCTTTTTTTGCAGAGGTTTTCGCTATAGGGTACGTGCGCTCACCAGAAAGACTGAGAGAAACAGAGAGATCAATCCCCAGGGGAGATGGCCATGCCACAATACCTTCTCCTCCATTCTCCTCTCAGGATCTTGGGCGTGCATGCACTCGCGCCTGGCATAAGTTTAAGCCACTGGGACTGGGACTCAAACCGTGGTTGAATACATGGGAGTCCAGCAACGTAGCCATTACGCCATCTGCTGGTTCCTCCCTCTCACTTCTTCTGTCTCTGGTGAGTACATGTATTCCCTGGTGATTTAAAAAATAACTACACAGGGGCCAGCAGGTAGCGTAATGGTTAAGGGTTCTGGACTCCTGCATGGTCAATTGCAGTTCAAGTACTAGACCTAGTGGGTTGCTTTCTTGCTTTCTCTCTCTCTCTCTCTCTCTCTCTCTCTCTGTCCCTCTCTGGTCAAATTTAAAAATAAATAAATAAAGTTAAATAAAATAATTCTTTTAAAAAAATACACATAGATTCTCTTGCTGCATTGGGGTAATTTGTTACACAGCAATAGATAACTAATATATTAAGCAAGGAACCAATGAAAATTTCCTAAAAAATTTTTTATCAGAAACCAAAGGCAATTATCAGATGTAACAATGAAGCACACTGAGTTTAAGAACAAAACAAGAATGACTTCTATTGCTTTTATTAACAAGTAATTTTAAAAATTACTTATTTAATTTTAATTATTATTATTATAATTATATTTAATTTGTGCTCACCAAAGAGAGAAAGACAGAGAGAGAGAAAATGAGAAAGCAAGCTGCCAGGTCTGGGACTCGAATTGTGGTCAGGCATGTGGAAGCCCAGCACCTTAACTACCACACCACCTGCTGGTCCCTATTAACCAGTACTTTTTGGGAAGTTTTAACCAATTGGATTTTTTAAATTATTTATTTAATTTCACTTATTATCATTATTATTATTTTTAAATTTACTATATGGCGAGAGAGAGAATGTGAGGAAGCAAGGTGCCAGGTTTGAGACTCAAACCACAGTCAGCCATGTGGGAGTCCAGTACCTTAACCATCATGCCACCTACTGGATCCAACTGGTTGGATTTTAAAAAGAAATAAATGGTATAAATATTTAAAAGAGTCAGAATTATCATTATTTGAAGATGATAGATTTGTCTATTTAGATAATCAAGGAGAATAAAATGAAAAATTATTGGAACTAATAAGCAAATTTAGCGTGATGGGTAGATACAACATAAATATTCACCTAAATCATCAGCTTCGTCCAGTACCAGCATTAACTAATTAGAAGACTTAATATGAAAAGATGTCATTCACAATAGCAAACAAAATAAAGCAAAAAAAAAAAACAAACTATAAAATCACCAGGCATTTACCAAAAATGTGACATAGTTATCTGGGGAAAACTATAAAATTTCATCAATGGGTCTAAGAAAACTTGAGTATATCAAAAGTCATATCCTATTCCTGGGTGAGAAGACTCGATACGGTAAAAATTACATTTTTTTCCCAATTTGATTAAAATGTTCAATACATTTCTCATTAAAATTTCTGTAGTATTTTCTTTGGAGTTGGACAATTGGATTTTGAAGTTCATTTGGAAGAGTTAATACCCATAAACTACTAAGAAAATTTTGAGAAAGAAAAATAATGAAAGGGACTTGCTTTATTGTATATAAAAGCTTACCATACAGCTCCAATATTTACAAATGTTGTGTTATCACAGAAATAAAGGAATACCTAAATGGAACAAAATAGAGAGTCCAGGAATAATACCCATGCTTATATACACATGACAATTTAATTTATGATAAAGAAGACATTTCAAATCAGTGGGGAATCAGTTAAGGAGATAGGGCCATTGGCTATCCAACTGTGGGGGGGGGATGTTAAATCCCTACCACACACACAAATACAACTGTAAAAGTACCAGGAGAAGGATGCCACCAGTTAGCGTAATGGCTATGTTGCTGGACTCCCATGTAGTCCACTGTGGTTCCAGTCCTGGACCCAATGGCTTAAACTCATGCCAGGCATGTGC